GATGTCCAGTTTATTAGGGGTAATGAGATACCGGTCAGGGAGAGACCTACGCCGCTAGCTGTAGAGGCTATTGATGGTAGACCACTCTCACAACCGCTTATAACCCACGAAACTGTCCCTATTACAATCTCCATTGGGGCCTCCCATAGAGAGGAGATGACGTTTCAGGTTATTACTTCTCCATCATGTCCTATCATATTAGGGTTTCCGTGGCTGAGTAAGCACAATCCCTATATTGACTGGGCTAATGGGGAGATATTAGAATAGGGTAAAGAGTGTATGGGGAGATGTATAAAACCAGTACTAAAGAGATTGGATACTATTGACCTTCCCACTACCACTCCCCAAACTCCTGGAGTTCCCATACAATACCGAGAACTTCAGGAGGTGTTTAACAAGGCTCAATCTGATGTATTGCCTCCCCACAGAGCATATGCCATTAACCTGTTTCCAGGCGCTATGCCACCTAAGGGGGCAGTTTATGCCTTATCTCCCCAGGAGAGTAAAATAATGGAGGAATACATCAAAGAATCCTTGAGCAAAGGGCACATAAGAAAGTCATCCTCACCAGCTGGTGCAGGATTCTTTTTTGTTGAGAAAAAGGGTGGTGAGTTACGCCCTTGCATAGACTACAGGGCACTTAATAAAATCACTGTAAAAAATGCATACCCTATTCCACTCATTTCCCAATTGTTCGATAGACTTCAGGGAGCTAAAGTATTTACTAAGCTTGACCTTAGGAGTGCTTACAATTTGGTTAGAATTAAAGAGAATCATGAGTGGAAGACGGCATTTAATACCCGTAGTGGACACTATGAATATCTGGTAATGCCATTTGGGTTATGCAACGCCCCGGCCGTATTCCAAGACTTTATAAATGATGTACTCAGGGAATTCATTTACTCATTTGTCTTGGTTTATTTGGACGATATTTTGGTGTATTCCCTGATCTTCAAACTCACCACTCCCATGTGAAACAGGTTCTGCAGACGTTGTTGAAAAATAAACTTTATTGTAAATTAGAAAAGTGCATATTTGACCAGCCTGAAGTCCACTTTTTGGGTTACAACATCTCTGCATTGGGATTTCAAATGGATCCTAAAAAACTAGAGGCTGTACTACACTGGCCATTACCCCCTGGTTTAAAAGCCATTCAAAGGTTTATTGGTTTTGCCAACTATCACAGAAGATTCATCAAGGGATTTTCTTCTGTAATAGCCCCAATCACAAATATGACTCGCAAAGGGGTTAGTAGCACGGTATGGTCCAAAGAGGCTGTGAATGCTTTTGAGACTCTTAAACAAAGATTTGCCTCTGCGGACATACTAAAACATCCTGACACCAGTAAACCTTTTATATTGGAGGTTGATGCATCCGAGACAGGGGTAGGGGCTGTTCTCTCTCAGAGAGAAAGCCAGGGAACACCATTGCATCCTTGTGGCTACTTCTCCAGAAAGATGTCTCCTGCTGAGCGCAACTATGATATTGGCAATAGAGAACTGTTGGCCATTATTCTTGCCCTCAAGGAGTGGCGACATCTTTTGGAGGGTTCCAAGGACCCCCTGTTGATCATAACCGACCACAAAAATCTGGCATATATAGGGGATGCCAAACGTTTGTCTTCCAGACAGACTAGATGGTCACTGTTCCTTTCACGTTTTAACTTTCTCATTACTTATAGACCTGGTTCTAAAAATACCAAGGCTGATGCATTGTCCAGGCAATTTGATAATGAGTCAGCTCTGGAACAGATGACATCTCCTATTATTCCAGCAGAGTGTATTATTGCTACTACTGTCCTCTCACTGTCTTCTCCACTGCTTGGCACCATACTGGAGGCCCAGCCTCAGGCGCCCAGTGGTAAACGTGTGATAAACTGTTCGTTCCCCTATGTGAAAGGGTTAATATCATGAAAGTGTTCCATGACAATATAACTGCTGAACACCCGGGCATCAATAAGTCCACTGCCGCGATCACTAGATCATTTTGGTGGGATTCACTCAGGAAAGATGTAAAGGAGTATGTGCAGGCATGTTCTGTGTGTGCAGTTTCTAAGGTGACTCATGCACTTCCTTGTGGCCTGTTGCAGCCTCTTCCTGTTCCTGAGATTCCATGGTCCCACCTATCCATGGACTTTATTGTTGAGCTTCCTAGCTCTGCTGGGTTCACTACTATTCTCATGGTTGTAGACCAATTTTCTAAGATGGCTCACTTCATTCCTCTCAAGAAGTTGCCATCTTCGCAAGATTTGGTCCTAATTTTCATACGTGAAATTGTCCGTTTGCATGGCATCCCCACAATATTGTGTCTGATAGGGGCTCTCAGTTTGTGTCCAGGTTCTGGAGGGCGTTCAGTAAACAATTGGGGATTGATCTCTCCTTCTCCTCCTCCTACCATCCACAGACCAATGGTACAGCTGAGAGGGCTAACCAGTCATTAGAAGTTTATTTGCGTTGTTTTATTAATAGCACACAAGACAATTGGTCCGAACTACTCCCGTGGGCCGAGTTCGCTAGAAACAATGCTGTTCATGACTCCTCTGGGCACAGTCCATTTTTTGTCAATAATGGTAGGCATCCTACGGTTCTCCCTGCGGTATTTTCTGATACTGCCATTCCTGCTCTGGATGAGCGTCTGGCCTCCATTCGGGATACCTGGGTTAAGGTTCAAACTGCTCTAGGGGCTGCTGCTGAACGCTTCAAACATTTTGCTGATAAGCGTAGGAGTGCCAACCCGGTGTACCAAGTGGGGGACCGGGTTTGGTTGTCATCTCACAACATCAAGCTTAAGGTCCCTAGCATGAAGTTTGCCCCCAGATTCCTTGGTCCCTATAGAGTGCTTCGTAGGATCAATCCAGTGTCTTACTCTCTGGCTCTTCTTGCATCTTTAGGGATTCCCAACACTATTCATGTGTCCTTACTCAAACCTCTTGTCTGCAATAGATATACTGTTCCTTGTGTTCCTCCCCCTCCGGTAGTGGTGGGTGGTCAGGAAGAGTATGAGGTATCTTCTATCGTGGATTCTAGGTTTTCTCGGGGCACTTTACAGTACTTGGTTGTTTGGAAAGGTTACGGTCCTGCTGATCGTTCTTGGGTTTCGGCTCCTGACCTGCATGCGGGCCGTAAGATCCGCGCTTTTCATGCTAAATTTCCTCTCAAGCCTGGTCCTGTCCGCCCGGTGGGCGTTCTTCAGGTGGGGGGTAATGTCACATATTCATCCGCTTATAGAAATGTGGTTAATTACATTTACTGTCCACACAGGAAAAGTTGTGCCGAGCAGCAACCTAATCCACAGAAGGGTTAATGCTGAGCAGCAATTATGCAAATTAAACCTGGTAACTGACTTTGGGGTCAAAGGCCGGTTACAGCCTATCAGAACTAAAGGAGGGGTATATAGGCCCAGTTCTCAGCCTGCTCAGTGCCCTGTCGTGGTTTCCCTTGTGGTTGTCTGAGAGCGCGTTCCTGTTTATAGTTTTCTACCTGGTTTTTGACTTTGGCTTTGTTTATTGACTTCTCTATATTCTGGTATCCTGACTACTGGCTTTCCTCATCGCTGTGTCCCTTTCTGTGTTCCCTGACCTCGGCTAGTATTTTTGACTATTCTTTGTACGTTAAATCCGGCCATTCTAAGGACCGGTAATACGTTACTTATTTGTCATCCGTGCTGTACAGTTCTACGTGCTGGATCAAACAGTAATCCTGACACGTATCCACTGTTAGCGTAACACACCCGCTTTAAGGACACTGACTGCTATTCAATCTATAACAGTGAAAAAAGTTTGTTTTTAAATCCAAGCTATTATGACACCAGTGAGTGATGGCACTGGGCACCGTATCCACTGTTGCGTAACACACCCGCTTTAAGGACACTGACTGCTATTCAATCTATAACAGTGAAAAAAGTTTTTTGTTTTTAAATCCAAGCTATTATGACACCAGTGAGTGGTGGCACTGGGCACCGTATCCAGTGTTAGCGTAACACACCCGCTTTAAGGACACTGACTGCTATTCAATCCAGGGCTGTCTTTAATATTGATTGGACCCTGGGCAAGCATCTGCTTGGGCCCCATGGGCATGCAATCACTCCCTCCACCCCAACCTTGAGGCGAAACTAATGTAGAGAGTGCCTTGGTGCAAAAAAAATAATAATTCAGGCCTGCCCTGTAGCACAAGAGTAAAGAAAAGATAGATCCCCATCTGTCATACAACTCCTCGATGCTATGCCAGGTGGGGATCTACCATCCTTGCAGGGTTGTATTTTTGAGCAGTGTTTGTGCAATTGAATGTCAGCATGTTATTGTAGAGTGTATGTGTGCATGTAGGGGTGTATTTGTATGTACTGTTACCACTGGAATGCAGTGGTGTACTTGTGTGTAGTGTTTGCGTTTGAATGCAGTAATGTGTGATTGTCTGTAGTGTTGGCTTTTAAATGCAGGTGTACTTTTGTGTGTAGAGTTGGTGTCTGTATATAATTTTAGCATTTTAATACAGGAATGTGTTTGTATGTAATGTTTGTATTTGCATGCAGGGGGTTGTTTGGATGTAGTGTTGTGTACATTTGTGTGTAGTATTGGTGTTTCAGCAAACTGGTGTGTTTGTATGTAATGTTTGTGTTTGCATGTTGTGTGATTTCTATAACACATATACACATACACATTAACACGCAGATACACACATAGGCACACTGGCACATGCTCACACCTTGACACATACTGGCACATACACACACACACTCAGATACACACCCTTTGACACACAGATACAAGCACTTTGATACACACACACACTGGCACATCCACACACAGAGGTACACACACACACCAACACAGGTATGTACACACACGCTCAGATACACACATACATAAAGGTATAAATGCAGGGGTGTATATGTGTACAGTGCTAGAGATGGAGTGTATTTGTGTTGGCATTAAAATGCTGGGATGTATGCATTACCACACACTCAGATGCACACTTACACACACTGACACATACATACATACACACACACACACAAACACACACACAGGTACACATACACACTGACACACAAGTACACATACACAGGTATACATACACACAGAAACACTGACACACAGACAAACACAGCCAGATACAAACACTGACACAAACACAGCCAGATACACACACTGACACAAACACAGCCAGATACACACAAGGATATAAACACAGCCAGATACACACACACATATATGTTTACATTTACATATTTTAATCTCTGCCTTCTAGCAGCTCTTGGACAGCAACTCCCAGCAACCTTGGCCATAATAATGTCTCAACTCTGTTCTTACATTACATGTCCAGAATTTGGCAAAAGTGACATTTGGAAATGGTATACAGCCTTTGATAACACTTGATGCAATAATATGTTAAAATAAATACTTTTAAAATTTATATTTAATAGGGAACTGTCAGGTTCTTCTAGGATTTTTAACATGTACTTATCCCATGTGTGTTACATTACAAACACCAACACTTGAATAAAAGTGATATCAGAAATAAGCAAAACAAAAAAACAAAACATATTTAGCCACCCTCCTGTCTCCTTACCTTTTGGGTACAGAAAGGTGGCTTCCCTGGGGTCCAGTGGGAGCTTGTTGGCCCAGGCTGATGGGAGTCTGCCATCAGCTTTCTCAGTCCCTCTCCCCAACAATGCTTGCATCCTCCTCCGTGTGGTGTGTGCCTCCTCCCCAGCGGCACTGAGGAGGAAGTATTCTGACCTCACTTCCTCCCAGCATGCCACGGAGAAGAAAAGGGATCACAGGGCAGTGTGTGAGGGGCTAGCTGTGTGTTTGTATTCAGCCAACCCCCATATTACAAGGGCCCGGTCCAGAGCAGTATTAAAGGGCTGTGGCCCCTGATTACCTCAGGTGCTGCAGGGGGCCCATGGGACAGCTGCCTTAGGGCCCCAGGAGTAACTGGGCCCGGGGCAGCTGCCCCTTTTGCCCCTCCTTAAAGACGGCCCTGATTCAATCTATAACAGTGAAAAAAGTTTTTTTTTTTTTAAATGCAAGCTATTGTGACACCAGATATAAGTGGTGGCACTGACTGGGGAAATGGGCACAGTATCCACTGTGAGCCTGACACAGAAGCTGGCAGCAGTGGCAGACAACTGACTGCTATTCAATCTATAACAGTGAAAAAAGTTTTTTTTTTAAATGCAAGCTATTGTGACACCAGATATAAGTGGTGGCACTGACTGGGGAAATGGGCACAGTATCCACTGTGAGCCTGACACAGAAGCTGGCAGCAGTGGCAGACAACTAAGTGCAATTACATTACATAGAAAAATAAATAAAAACAAAAGCATACCCTAACCCTAACCTAGCTATGCATTTCCCTATCTAATCAACAGCAGCTATACTTTCCCTCCTCTCACTAAGCATGCAGCTTGAGAATTAATCTAAAATGGATGCCTTCCAGGAGGTGGGAGGGTCTGCTAGGGAGGGTGTGCTGCTAATTGGCTGGATTGTGTCTGCTGACTGTGAGGTACAGGGTCAAAGTTTACTCAATGATGACGAATAGGGGGCGGGTCGAACCGCGCATATGTTCGCCCGCCGTGGCGAACGCGAACATGCTATGTTCGCCGGCGAACCGTTCGGTACATCACTACCCCAGACTAACAAGGTAGCCTCTCTCTTCTTTGGAGATACATTATGTAAGCTGCCTTACTTTTCTGAGGGTATAGAGATTGCTGGCTCTCTACCAGGCCTATATGTATATATTTTTATTTTATTTTCCGACTTGACCTTGCTAATCAAATTAAAGTCTGGAGTCTGAACTATTATAGATAATCTCAGAGACCAGAGTTTTGGAGGCTAGCCATTTGGCTCTAGTAATTTTCGATTTGTTTCTGACCTCTTAACTTGGGAGCACATTTATGTACTATCAGTACTTTTTAATTTGTTTATTTCTTTTTATGTATGACTAGTTTCAATTTATTTAATTTCCAGTTGATACTCTGGTGTGTGGATCTTCTATCCAGCAGTTTGAGTATATTTTTTGGCGGTAACTCTTCATTCCTGCCTTATCTACAAACCTGCAGCAAACCAACATGAACCTATATTCCTGCTGAACATCAAACTAGCTTAAAACAACACTGGCCTTTAATTTACTTTGTGGCTATCTATTCACTCCTACAACAAATTTACTGATATCCCAAGCTATATTTGCAGCTATCAAAAAGGACCTGCTACTACTATATAACCATCCAAAGAGACTGAACAACTACAACAGGTTTCTTTATATCCTGTTCTGGGGCATATTGCCTAAATCCTGTTTTATGTTATCCCTCTAGGTTTATCTTCAATTATCCTTCCTATAACTTCTTTTATAGATTTACCTTATTTCCACTTTGGGCTTGTGGTCTAAATCCTTTATTTCTTAGGCTACTTAATTCCCTGTAAATTCAGACATTCTGTTCGGTTCACTACATTTCATTCCTATAACTACAATAATAGGATATACTGTTATTAATAGAATGTCAAAGATGGCAAATAAAGACCCTGAACTTAGTTCTCATCCCTGACCTGCACAAGATCATTACACTTGGGTGCATTCACAGGTGCGCTTGGCTTGTGCAGCCTGTATATACGATTCAGCAATAAGTCCGAATTAGTGGCAGTCTGTTTAATCGCCTGTAACGGATCCCCTGGCACCCCAACTGGGTACCTCCGTTGAAGGATGCTCCTAGCGCTTCCTGAGGACTCCAAGCACTGCAGCAGACACCACAATCACTGAACCGGAGAAGCATACGAATGCTCTCAAGCATATGAATGCTGTAAGCAGCTGAACAGGAAAAGCATACAATCAGCTTACACTCCTGGCAATCAGCATACAATCCAATTCCCCCCAATAACGAGACGACTGACTGTACTGGCACATACAGCCTCTTTAATTCACAATCCACAAACATAGTACTGCCCACAGGGTTTTGAAATACAACCAATCAATCCATACAATACACACAGACACTCCCACACAAAATCCTCCCCTCTGCCTGTGATATAATTGCTGAACACAATGGTTAATCTAATTATCACAGGCAGAGAAATACAGTATTATAAAACATATCACAGGGATCCCAAAACAATCAATACACAAGACAATACAATACACAATACACAATAACCCCATAAACTCCACAGTATGTCCCCAGATGGTTCTTAAGGGCCAGCAGCAGCATAATAAAATACAATATGCCCAAATACTGTATTTAAAGGGCCAAATCTCCTATGGCCATAGTCAGCAGGCGGGCAAACAGGCTTCTCCAATGCCCAGTGGCGAGGTTGGCTTCGCCACACCGCCTTTATCATATTCTTAAAAATAGTTAGGTAATTCCACAGTGTCAATATTGTCAGGGATTCATCTGATCCTTAGATTGTTGCATCTGCTTCTGTCTCCGCCTGCTGATTCACCTGTCTTTGGAGTGCCTTTTACAGTATCAACCAAATCCAGATGAGATTGCTCCTGAAAATGCAATCTATTTTCTACTTCCTCTGTGCGCTGGCTAATGCCCTCTATAGTTCCATCAATTGTTTCAAATTCTTTTTTGAAGTTGTTTTTTAAATCCACTCTTAGGTTCTGGATAAGCTTAATTATCATGCCAGCTGATGGTGGAAAATCTTATAATCCAACTATGCCACTTGAAATGGCATATGTGATGGCTACTATTTCATTTAAAGCTATCTTATAGGTGGAAGTAGCCATCTTGGTTGAGGCACTAACATCCTGTGTAGTAATGGTGGCCATCTTGGTTGTGGCAATTGTTGATTCATAAGTGTCAGCCATCTTGGTGGTGGTAGTAATCTGTTTAATGCTCTGTTGCTGAGGAGTATACATTAATGTATTAGGAGCATCCTCCAGTTCAAATTCTTCTGGGCTCTCTGCAGCCCTTTCTGTGTTTTTAAAATTGAGGGATTGGGTAGCAGGGGTCTGACCGCCATGAGGCCGAGGACCATGACTGGGAGCGGGACCTCCTACCGCACGCCCCCTCATCATCAGCCTGGTTTTCTTTATATGTTAGGGACCGGGCTGCATTAGTAATAAGCAGCGAGCGGCTTTATTTCAGCTGTGTGCCGCTTGCGGGAGCTGTCTTCACTTGCTCAGAGTGCTCGGAATGATTACTGTCGCCCTCCAGACTCATGGAAGTTGCAGCCGCGATCCAGATGCTTTTCCTGAAGCTGCAAGCAGGTCACATATGAGCGAGCATGGGAAAGGCTGTGGGAAGGAGGGAGAGACTTCTCCACTGCCACCAATGCTGTTATTGTGGCGAAATAAGCAGTGAGGAGGGAGAGTGAGCTGGCAGGCCCCTACTCACCCATGCAAAACCTCCTTTGATTTTTCTTCATAGCAGAAACAATCTTCTCCATTTGTTTCTGCATGCTGCTTGAAGGTTCTTAAAGCTGAAGTAATGTTCAGATACAGTGTATTAGTCTTAAATGTTACTATTATAGCATTATTGTCCCCTTGGCCCAGGAGCCTCTCTAAAAGGTGACCATTCAAGATGGTGGCCAGTACATATGTTCCTGTATATGTTGCTTACTAAGAATATATGTGTATAAGAACGCCTGTCACCCCGACTGGGTACCTTCCGTTGACGGATGCTAGTAGTGCTTCCCGAGGATTCCAAGCACTCGACCAGACACCATGACTGCCACACACCCCATGAACTGCCGCAGCTTGGTTGGGGTCTTACCATCTTCCACCCAGTCTGATCCCAAGACCAGGGTCCAGCTTCCAGTAAGCAGACCTCTCTTAGATCCAGAGCAGGAACAGGAACAAGCTCTTACCAGAGCTTAGCGATTATACCCTAGGGAGTATAGTTATTATAGCAATCCCCAGAGTGTAATTCTCCAATCCCCCAAACATGAGCCAAGACTTCATGAAGGTACAAGATGATCTGTTTAATGGTGGCCACAGCTTGGCTTTTTATGCAGGTCCTCCAGCAAGGGATACTCCCATAGGGACCTTGTAGAGGACTAGAATACAATTACAGTAGCCAATCAAATAATAAGACACTGTGAAACACTCCCACAGAAACAGTAAAATCCCTCCCTTCTATCAATATATCTGAACAGCGCTCAGATCCCACTAGTCAAATTGCCATGGGGTTCAAGTGTTTCACCGACCGTTCGGCAGCAATTTCTCCATGATTAGGTCCATGGCTTTTATCAATCAGGGCCAGTCTATTTTAAATGTCTAAGTTACGTTCGAATGCACGAACAGGGCAAATAGTCCAGGGTAAAGTGTTGTTCGTATTGTCGAACACCGTTCGATTCCCGTTGAAGAG